CTATTGTTGGTGAGAATTTGGGAAGGTAAAACGCAGACGGGAATTTAATTTATATTTGTAAGCAACGATAAACCATTGCTAACAAAAAAAAAAAAAGGTTACGAGCGGAATTCAGTCGATAATATTGCTTTTTCAACAATTTACATTTCGTATTACGGTAAAATGATTATAACGTGCTTTTTCATGACAACAACGATTGTTTAGAAAAGATTAAAATAATAAATACTTAATAATAACAAAAAATAAATAAAAACTGTTGCCAATGACAATCTTATTTTTAATCTTTCAATCTTCTTCAACCTAAGAACCAGATTTTCCGCATTATCTCGAATATTACGGAGAATTTTAAAAAAAATTGCTTCTTTAATATACCATCCGGAAAACGTTTTCTTTCAAAAAAATCACTATAAAAAATTATCGGAGTAAGCTTTCTGGTAGAAAAAGCGTTCACACAAATAAATAAACATCTTTGTAAAACCGATACATTTCCCGCTCCGCTCAAGTTCTGTAAACGTAGACAATTTAAAACACTATAAATTTGTACAGCTCGAAAACGACCAGGACGCGCGATGTATTGAAAATCGTATACCGTTTCGATAATATTTCGGAATAATGCGAGAATAATATTATTATTGTATTCAGTACCTACGGTCCGTGGGCAAAGTCGTCGGAGTTTGATTTAGATGCGGCCGGCACGTGAGTTATTACGTATCGGGTACACATACGCAGGTATACACCGAGAATAATAATAACTCCGTAAAATAATATACGAGAGTACGTGCGAAGGTGTATTGTGTTTTGTCGGGTAGCGGCTGCTGCCGGGGTGCTCAATTAAAATTAATGGCAACACTGTCTTATGATGTTCGTTGTTAATATGTTCGCGATTCGCGCAAAAAACAGCGTATGGCCGCGGTTTTACGGCAAACTATACGGCGGCCGTGGTCAGCATTGTGTTGTTTACAAGAACCGTGTTTTGTGTGTTCGCCACACCTATAGATCGGGACGGTCGAACGTTGCGCTTTTTACCCACGTTGAAAAGCGTCGAACAGCGCGCGGGCGAAAAAAAACCGAGTAAGCGTGCGGTCGCGCCGCGCACGGGTCGAAAAAGGTTTGAAAACGCTAATTTCCCTTGCCGAACTCACGTACGTGTGCTCGCACGCGCTACATCACCGTTTGGAATTATTTTCTACGATAATTATGATAAATTGAATTTAAAAACTCCTTTTATGAATATAATATTCTTGTGTATACAGTGAAACCTCCACTAACGGACACCTCCCAATAGCGGACGTTTGTTGAGGAACGGGGGGACGTTTTCACTACTTTTCAATAGGAAAACCTCCGAATAGCGGACTCTCCGAATAACGGACATTATTTTATTTATACAGTTTTATAATTATAAATTTATATATTATTTTATTAGGGAATTTTCAAAATAATGGCAAATCGCTAATCGTTATTCGAAAATAATACGTATTCACATTCGTACGCACTCTCGTAATAATTACGATAACAAACTCGTTATGGGACGTATGTCAGTTAGTGACGGTTTTCAACGCGATGACTGCGTTTATTTATCCCCTCCGAATAACGGACAAAATGTCGGTGACCAAGAGTGTCCGCCATTCAGAGGTTTCACTGTATAATTATAATGCATACAATTAAAGTCAATAGAAAAACCGAAAGATGATACACTGATGTCCGACACACAGACGATATGGTAAATAATATGTATTCGTCGTAGATTCTGAGCGGAGCGAAGAAGCTTACGGTTGTACAAAGATGGTCCATTTTTTTTTTTTTTTATCTGTGCTCAAATTTTCTTCAAGAAGACCCGCTGAGATTTTTTGAAATGTAGCACCTTTTCTGAAAGGAAATCAGTTCGAGGAGGCACTTTAAGGAGGTAATTTTTTTGGTTTTTCTCAGAGGTTTTCACGTCAAATTTGAAAAACCGAAAAAAAAACGCGAAAAACATAGGAAATCTGGGAAAATCGGTACGACGTTAAACAAATATTATTAAAGAAAATCTATAATAACTTTTTATTTGTTTTACCATAATACGACACAAACGTACTTATATGTATATTATTGACAAAGCAATACTATCAACTAAACTCCGCTCAGTATCGTTTTTTCGTATGCAATGGTTTATCGTCGCTTACAGTTATACATTAAATTATCAATAACAGTGGTTGTGCCCGACCCCATTATCCTAGGACGTCTTTTTTCTATTCCGTTTCCTTTTATTCCGGATAAACGTTTTAGATTCTGCGCTAATCGAAAAATGTTTTGGTTTTGCAATGGTATGTGGGCTTTTTTTTAAATTTTTTGTTTATTTCTGTTAGTATTTTTTTTTACCATAAATCTTGCTCCGATCGAAACATGACAAGTGAGCTTTTTCGTCGCGTTTTAACTCTATAGTTAAACAATCCCGTGCTTAATTTTCAAAAGAAGTTTCACCAAAGTCCGTCCTTAACATTTCTGAGTTCTGAGCAATTGGTATTGAAATTTTAATTTATAAATGTCAAATATAAATTTAAAATAAACATTTTCCTTTTTTTAATTTTTACGATCTATTCCCTTAAGTGCGTAACTAATGTGACGTGTACTTTTATTTTCTGTTTATTAAACAACTTTATTACAATTTATATACCTGTATGTACCCGCCCGCAGAAATGTTGCTCCGACCATTTACTCCGGGGACGGAAATGGCCACTACAAAATACTCGAGAATCTGACATGACGCATCGTATAATGACACGTCATTAATCGTCGATTGCTTGGTAGTTGTACGTTCTATAGTATATGAGCTTAGATGAAAATCGTAAAAAATATTATTTTCCGATTTATATGGATACAATTTATTCGGCTAAAGGGAATTTTTTAAATAACACAATTTGAAAATACACATCAGATAACTGAAATTTATTGTGTAGCTACGAATTAATGTAATTTTCAATTCAAACTTATCAAAACGTGTTTAACCGAACCCCGGCTCAGAATAGGTTTGCGTTTCCGATTATTTACCGTTGTCTACATAAATTAAATTTACCCTATACTCCGGCCTATCACCTACAACAGCGCTGTTAATCGTGGTGTAAAATATGTATTTTTTATTGGTTTAGATTCTAAGCGCAGTAGTAATAAGGAATATGTTATTTGTATTACTATTGTGTGCGTTTTTTTGTGTGAAATACATAAATATCATATAATTGATACGCCGAGAAAGTCGTTTCGTGACGCTCTTTGCAGTTTTCTTAACGACTGTGAAAACCCGGGAAAAATGGGAAAGTTTGCGGAATGAACGGTTTCGTCGTAAAGTATTTGTTGTTTTTTTTTTTTTTTTTGCCAATTGTTGCCCAAAAATCCTGTTTCCAATATCAAAAATCGAAAAGAAAAAAAAAAAACAACCGACCGCGATTAACACGTTTTATTATTTTATTTACCCGTTACATGCGAGGTTACGCGGTACGATTATCGAGTAACTCGTCGGGCTCGCTGATAACTTACCGTTTTTCCAGTGCCCGTAGAAACCGCGGTTCGTTGCGCCACGGCCCCTGCGCGCTTCGAGTTTTTGTATTCGGCCCGTACATTAAAACTATTCAAGTGTCTACGCCCAAAATAACGGATTGTTTTTTCAATAAGACCGTGATTCGGAACGTTTGGTTTACACGGTGTAGGAACCGGTACCGTCTTAGGTTTTTTTTTTTTTTTTTTTTTTCTATAGATGACTTTTCAACTAGATACGTCGCTCAGGTCTTTAAGTGTAGCAGCACCTTTTCTGATAGTAAACCGGACTGGAGAGGTACTTTAGGGAGATCGATTTTTTCGATATCTTCGGAAGTTTTCGCAAAGAACGTAAGTAACCGGAGGAATACCGGGAAAATGTACGAAATGTTTGTTAACGAAATATTACGGTGTTTTTTTTTCCGTGGACAACTTTTCTACCGGCAATTTTGCTCCGAATCGAAATGGTAGCGAATTTTCCAAAAGAAAATTTTACCGGTGAGGTTACTTATGGTGGTCATTTTTCGATTTTACCAAGAGCATTACCAATAAATGAAAAAAACCGGGAAAAACATGGGAAAACCGGAAATATAGGTACAACACAAAACAAATATAATATATAGAAAATACATAGTGCCTGTGTAATTATTTTACCATAATATGACGTGTGTATACCTATTGTTGACAAAGCGACACTATCGACTTAACTCCTCTCAGAATCGTTTTTTCGTAAGCAACGGTCTACCGTTGCCCACAAATATACGTTCAATTTCTCCTCTACTATCTATACCTTTACGACTTTTTTTTTTTTCAGACGAAAAGTAAACCAATTTGAATGTTTATTTTTTTTTTAGGTAACGTCGCTTATTAATCATTGCTAACGAAATACTATTCTGGGCGAAGATTGGTTACACAATTTTTTGAGGGGCCGTAATATTTTTCGATTCGAAAATAACACATTTCGTAAATTTTCCCGGTTTTCACGCGTTTTTCCCATTTATCGCGAAAACTCCTGAAAAACCCGAAAAATTACCTTCCTTAAGTACCTCTCCATTCCGGTTTACTTTCAGAAAACGCGCTACACTTTTCGTCGATTCCGTCCTACGAAACGCTATGTTATTATTATATAATAACCGCCGATATCGTTTACGTCGTCGTCGTTATCCCGCGGGGCGCACAGATTTCGTATTTTCGTTTTTATGAGAGCTGCGCGCAATCGCGGGGGGCGTCGAACCCTTAGCCGCGGGTCCGGTGTTTCAGTACGGGGGCCTATGTTCGGACAACATGTCGAAATATCGTTGACGGAAAAAAAAAAAAATTATACCGTTCGCTAACTGCGTGGAATGTTATAGTGATTTGCGCGTGTCAGCTGTTTAACGAACAACACGCGGTAACACACTCGTTTGGGACTTTTCCCCGTTTTCCCCGCGGCGCAGGACCGAGGACAGCGGAACGTTCCGGACGAATAACACAATCGTAACTTTTATATTACCGTACAATATATTATCATAATAATTATAATACAATTACGTTACCTAAATATATATATTTTTTTATATAATCCGCTTAATAATATTCTAAAACACAAATACTTAACCGTAACAATATGATGATAATCGTTTGAACTATGACATAAATAAATATACATATATGATTTCTGTAACTTATATACGAGCCGTTACACGCATTGGGAAGGGGGGGGGGGTTGGTTGGTCGGGGGGGGGCGGTCGAGTAAAACAACGGCCGTCGGATGTTTCGGGGGTTTTTTTTTTTTTTTATTTTTTCGCGAAACAAAATCGCCGCGGAAAAATCGTTTTTCCCCGCCAGACACGATAAAACATAATACGTACAGCCGCGGGGGAACGCGAAGAACGTTTCGGTTTTTCGTTTGTTTCTTGTTTTTTTTTTTTTTTGTTTTTTTCCCCGTTTTCGCGGCGGTCGGTTTACGGCATCGGGATTTCCGACCGGGGAAAAAAAACGGAATCGCGGTACATGGGTTATATGGGGGTACACGTTATAACGGACTCGTATCTGAAAAAAAAAAAAAAAACAAAACACAAAAAAAAACCGCGTTGGCCACGGAAAATAGGCTGAAAAATTCGACACATTGTACCTTAGCGAATACGCATATATAGATATGTACGCGATATGTATACGATATATTATGGACTAAAAAAGTATAATGATAATGATAATAATAATAATAATAATAATCAAATCGAACAACGTGCGGCAATGCCGCGTTACCGGACACACGCGATCACAATAAACATCACAATAATTAGTATTTTTACAATAGGTCTACGCGAATACAAATATTAACACGTAAAATTTTGCATACAATTTCGTCTAGAAAAAAACAAAAAAAATATTAAATTAAATTCGCATACATTCATATGTGTGTGTGTGTGTGTGTGTGTGTAAATTATTATATCGTTGTACCCTCTTACAAGTTATCGAGTGATATGTCTGTTGTATATATTATAGTTTAGTTTTAGAAGGAAAAAAAAAAAAGTAATAAAAATAAAAACAATTATAACAACAATAATATAGTCGCGGAGACCCGGACCGGTTGAACGTAAACGCCTACTGTCGCAACAAACGCGCTGGCGACAATAACAATGACAACGGTAGTAAAAAAATCCATTCGCAACCACTAGTCTAATACGCGCGATACGCGATGCCGACGCAACGGTAACGAACAACAACGGCATAATCGTATTTCGGATAAAAATATTTATTTTTTTTTTTTCCCCCGCCACGTTACACCAACGCGTGTGCCAATACGAATATCGCATCTCGTACGTTTTCGATACGCGTTCGTTTCGGACGATACGGTATTTTATCACAGCCGTGATTTTACATCACGATAATTAATTGTTTTGCGAATTACAAATATATGTGTACGCGTATGTGTATACATGTATGTATATAACGATATATAATTAGAATATATCGTGCAATTTTCAGGAAAAAAAAAAAAAAAAATTTAAAAAAATTTGCCCGGCAAAACGCGTCGTCACGGAACGGCGGATAACGCGGTACGCCTATAATGTCGCGACGAAATCCGTAATAAAACGCGCGGGTGGGAGAGGTCGGAGGGGGGGGGCAGGGGGAACGAGGTGTTTTTTTTTTCCCCGCGCATTTTCCAATACGATAATTGTGTCGGCGTTTTCTATTTTTTTTTTCTTTTCCCCGCTCCGCGTGCCAGCGATTGCGTACCGTCACAGTCCGTTCGGCCGCGTGTAGCGTGTAAAGCCGGACGAGCGGTACGATTCGTGTTTGTTTTAGAAAAAGAGAAAAAAAAAAAAAAAACTTTCCGCTCCCCCACCCCCCTCCCGCAATATATCGTGTACCGGTTGTTTCGATCGGCAGGAACCCGCCCCCCCCCGGACCCCCTCGCCCCGTTAACGCACCGGACGGCATTGTTGTTTTCTACGCGCCATAGCACACACCCGAAACGACAACGTCAATGTCGGGACGATAATAACAAACGACAAATGATAACATCGCGGGTAAACGTGTTTCGCGTACGATAAAACGTACACGCGATACGCATTAACGGTTTCAAACGATTTTCGGCGCTCGGTGCCGCCGCGTTATTATTCGTCATTGTTTACACGCCTTTGATTTGACGGTGTGACGGCACCGATTTCGCGGGGCGACAAATGTCCGAATCGAACACACGATGTCTCTCTCGGTCGAAATCGGAAATTTTCCGCCGCATTATTCGGGGGTTAGGGGGCACGGCGTCGTCGTCGTCGTCGTCCGCGTAACGATTTGCCGGCAACGATCGGCGTACAAAATAATAATGAAAACAACAGCCCCGACGACGGTGTTCTCAAGTCGAGCGCAAAACGACATTCGAGAGTAATAAAAAAAAAAAAAAAAATAAATAAATAAAAAACGACAATAACGATTTCGAATGATCAAAACGAAACAAAACGCGTCCTTAGGAATATCGCGCGGATCGCAGCAGAAACACACCAGTTTTAACGACCTCTCCATACGCGGCGAGACCGTCGTGCGTGTACGGCCATACTAATTATTGGGTATCGTGTCGTCGTCGTCGGCATAAACAATCGCGAGATACACACGCCGGGACGGACGACGTGGGCGTTAACTCGTCGGCGTTTTTTTTTTTTTTTTTTTTGTTCCCCGCGGTTTTCTCAAACGGCCGGTCTCTCAATCCGCCGTTTCCGTATCACTATTGACTATTGGCCTCCGAGGACGGAATTGCACGAGCGACGAAACTACACGGAGCGGATCGCGAGCCCCGGTCGAACGGATCGCGCGAGTTCCAACTGACGTGCGTGTTCTGCGACAGACGCCCGGGGTCCCGTACGGGTTCGATCCCTAAAACGGCGGCGAGGGGGGCGACACGCAGAGTTATTATTTGTACTTTCGGTGCTGCGCCGTAACGAATCTAATCGTTTCCCCCCCCCCCCATAGATTTATTTGAGTAATCTCGGCGACGCGGGCGAAATTTGTTTGTGTAAAAAAAAAAAAAAAAAAAATCGAAACTAGCAAAACAAACGCACGTATCAGATCGAAAGAAACGGCGTACGGACGTATCCTAGTACACTACGCCCCGCGGTGTTGATTCGCGGACGCGAAACCTGATCGGTTGCTGAAAAGAGACGAGAAAAAAAAAAATGAACGATTTTGAAAGAAGAGTGCTGCTATACCGAATATATATATATATATATATACGTATGTATATAATAGCTCTATAATGGAAAACGGAGAGTAATATATCAAACGAACAAAACCTTGAAATTTACCGACTATACCGCAAACCTAACATCAGTGCATATTTGAAAAGCGAAAAAAAAAAAAAATAATAAAACGGACGCGTGGAAACTGAATGGAAAAAAGCCGGGAGCCGCCATACACCGCCGAGATGGATAGACGGCGTGAAAGTCGCCCGAGAAAAGAAAAGGCAACAAGACAGCGGAGGTAACGCGGACCGTAAGAGCTGACGCGGAAAAAAAAATTCATCTATAACGTCGCGATTCTTTATTGGCCGTTGCGTTCGGGGACAAAACGACTTTCGAACAATTGTCAACGAACAGATGACGTTTCCGTTTAATCAAAGTCCGGTGTTGACATTTTTAATTGCCGTCAACGAGTTTTCGAAAAGTTTCCACACGGGATATACTTTTTTTTTTTTAATTTTATATATAAAATGAGTTTTTTCGTCGGGCGAAACTGAGTGCGAGATACAATAATTCGGAAGACTGCGCGAGCTATCCGCGATGGAAATGCATTGTCTAATACCGCGCCGGTTTTTTCCGATAAGATCACGATTCGAATCCGAAACCTGTAACGTAATTAAAATCCTCTTATCGCAAAAATCGCCGCCCGATCAAAACCTAACCTAACCTAACCGTTCGTCGCCTGTACGACGAGCGTCACACCCGTTTCCTCGGTAATGTTGCAGTATCCCTCCACTGACGGAAGATAGTTTTCCGGGCCGTGTAACGCCGCGGCGATGCGACACGGCGTCGAGAACACGGGCGACACGAACGTACCGTACAATACTATAGAGGAAAAAAAATTTAAAAAAAAAACACACCTGTCGGTGCGATTGTTACTCGCAACACTGTACATATTATACCCGCGATTAGACAGATAACGGACATCGGTACAGTTGCGTTATGATATGCGAACGAATGCGATATGTTTTTTTTGAATTCCGGTAAATTACACTGTTATTGTTATAGTTATCGTGCCGAGGATCGGGCACGTTGAGCAGCCGTTTCGGTGAGCGCGGCGAAAACGCCGTGGAAAAGCGCGGTTTCCTCGTCGAGTCCTCGGCGGTATTATATCCGGACGACCGCGAAAAGTATTCGCGACAGGCAGGGTCGCCACGATCGCGCGTTTGATAACGGGGCCCATCAGGCGTGACCGACAAGAAACTCGACGGACCATGATATGTATTTATTTTTTATGGCAATCGGCGTAAAAGAGTACCGATGCCGCGTTACGGGATTTCTCGCCACTGCCACCGCGTGTCGGCGCGTTAGGCATTTATTTTTGTCGCGAACAATGATGACGGCGTCGTAACGTTACCCGGGGCTACGCAACACAATAAACACTACGGCGCGAAACCGTCGATTCGGCGTGCGAGCCGCGAACATAAAAATAATGTTGGCGCCGTGGCCGCGTCAGTGGTCTTCGACCGGTTCAACCCGATTTCGGGTCGCGTAAAAAGCCTCGAGATCGCGTCTAATGTTTAAAATTTAAAAATAATTAAAATTCTACGAAATTGTATACAACCCATTTCGTCCTTTGGCCGAGAAAAAATATTGTACGCACTGTGTACCGCCGTGCAGTTTGCTACTTCAATTTGAGGATTGCACTGTACGGAATAGAACCGGGACGGAGTATGAAAACAGTCAGGGTCAAATGTCGAATCGATATTTTTATTTTTGTAACGTTAGATGAATTTCTATTTAATAGAAGTTAAATAGTACCTATACAAATATTAATTTGAATTTATTCAATAATAAAATCACTTCTGCGACGGCATACCAAGACATTAAGCAATTGGAACTTTATTTAGCTTTCCACGACTGACAACAAAGCTGACGCGGGTCTCGGCAAATCCATAGCGGGTCGCTAGTCGAAACGGTTGAAGACCACTGAGCCGCGTTATTTAATATTCGTTTAGACGCCGGTTGATTGCGTTTTTCGTTAATCTATATTAATCGTCATACTCGGACTTGGGCGTTATCGGGTACCTATTGTTTTTTTTTTTTCCGTTATCGTATCGGCCGCATATCGGCCCGAATTGGGCCGCGGATCAAAATGGTTTCGGTAGGTATTACACTGGTTGCGGGTCCCAACGAATTCCGTTTACTATACTAGTTGGGTCCAAACGTTTACAAGCAATACAAACATTCATTTTCCATCTCATTTTACAGACTCGGTACTGCCACCGATTCGTAGTTTAAAATAAAACACAGGTTTTATAAACATTTTTTGTCAGATGAATTAATATTTTGAAAAACATTCAAAAGGTGGGTCTTTTTTGATCGTTCAATGAATACCTACTAGTTTAATATACTTAATAAAAAAAAAAAAAAAATGTAAAAATGTAAAAACAACACGTGTCCGTTTAATTCAGTTCAATACTAATGTACTAAATGTACCCGTGTAAAAATGTACCAGAAAGCGTTTCGACAAAATCGAGTTTTATTTTTATAAGCTCATTACTTATATCGGTCGATTGTCGATAACTAATGAGTTATTGCGTTAATATGGCACTATTAAATAGGGGGACTCAACCAGCGTACAACCTGCGGAAATCCGGTGTCCAACTAGAGTGGATTATTGAACGCGGGGCCCAACTCAGATGCGCCGATCGTACCGAACAGACGAAACCGATGACGCGAACTACCCGTGTAAATTATATCGCGAAAGCTCAAAGCGCGCTAAATTCGACGGTCCAAACAATATGCACACGTAATATAATTACTATAAACAATATTGCAGTTTTGCTGGGTGTTTTCAACGTTTTGACCGATCACGCGCTGCAAGCGCGGTAGCCAGCGACGAAACCCCGGATAATGTCTTTGGTCCCGGGGTACCAAAGGCCTAAATCGATTTTTATTTTTTTTTTTTTTTTTTTTTAATTTTTCAACATAATTATTCCGTTTGTTGTTCAGTCCAAACGCCAAAAGCGTATGCATAAATATTATTCTAACGCGCGTCATGTTGATTAATTGAAACATCTCGTGTCATTATGCGGCGCAGTACTCTTTGTTTGGCGAAAAAGGTATGCATTAAATTATTACAATGTTATAATAATTTAGTCATTTAACAATATTATTCTCGAATACTAAATTCGCTTGTTTTTGAAAACCACACAAATTCTACTCGAGCCCTGCGTTTATTTCTTTTGACCTTTTTTTGGTTTTTACCTACAGCGAGAAGGAGTCGCCGTGTTGCTGAGATAACGGTTTATGTTTATTTCGACGATTTCACGGGCCGCAAGTCCCGATCCTGATTACGACATACCTATCCGCCTGTTTGTTATTTCCCGCATACATTTTATGCGTTATTGAAACGTATCAGATTGCCCACTGCGCGCACGCGCTCTAGTGTTATCAAATCTAAAACAAAACGTCGATGTTGGGGTTAAACTGCGTTAAAATGTTATCATTAGTTTTAATGTTTACAAAGCATGCCTTTGTTGTATTATACTCATGTGTATACATATAATATTGGTTATCGTATAAAATTGATTAATTGTTATCGGTACAAAGTAATTCGAGCGATTACGATATGTATCGGAAAAAAAACCCTTCGGATACGTAAAAAAAAAAAAGTGCTGAAAATACAGACGCCGGTTATTCAACCAAACCGCGATGAGATAATTTATTATAATATTATTATCGTTGGTAGTAAACAGAATTATTTACTTCGAGTATTGAACCGTCGTCAGGGAAAGTTCGATTTAAGCAATTTACTATCTATTTTTTTTTTTTATTTTTTTTTTATTTTATTTTATTTTACATTTGTACAGTCGTTTTTTTTTTTTTTCTATTTATCTAACGTTTGGAAATAAAGGCCCGGGTTTCGTTCGAAATATGTTCGTGCCTTACAAGAGAGTGTTCCAATACGCGCTGCTATATTGCCAACAACCACAACAACAATAATTATAACGTAGCAATGTAAAATCGAATATAAAATAACAGGTCTGTTTCCGTCCGCTACATCGTCTGCATTGTAATTATTGTATGTTTAATTATAGGTGTAATTAATTCGAGACTGTTTTTTTTTTTTTTTATTTTCATTGCAAGTTATTTACACGACGGACATAATATTGTTATACTCCTGCACGCACGCACACAGAATAGGCCGACACGACCGCGATTCGGGATATCATACAGGGGGTGCCCGAAGACCCCGCTATATCATTAGCTATCGCAACAACATACAGCAGCTTCCAACAGCTCCTAACAGCTCGATAATTCAATAGCAATATTACCGCGAGCGTATTCTGGCCACGGCCGTGACACAGACGGGGACCGGTCACACGACGAGTTGCCGAAAAGCGGTGGCCGACGGTTCTCATTACGGAAAATACGGAAAACCCGCGAAAAACCGCCCGCCTCGCGGCGCGGTCTAATTGTCGCCGAACGGTTTCGGATTATTTATTACCCCACCTCCCCCCACCCCCCCGTCAAATATGGTAAAACGATAAACTTGACGGGGATCGTGGTTTTTTTACGAAGATCGTCGCCGCGCAACCCGAACATCACGGATCCGATTACGACAGTGCGAATTAGTATCTTCGACCGACGACGACGCGTGTTATCGTGTGCAACGAGATTGCCCGAGTGCAGCCGGGGTGTTGCACAGAAGCCGTAACGGCGCAAACGCAATCCGTTCGTTCACGACATTATTGAAAACGTCCTTTTTTTTTTTTTCCTTTTCGAAAATCAGCCCGTATCGATTCGTACGGGACTCGCGCTATTTTACCGCGTTGCGTATTTCGTTCGGTATTACCGTATCCGCGACACGTAATACAGTCGGTCTCGTTCGGGCCCCGCGATAACGCTCGCGGTTCACCGCAATACTATACTATGCGTACGAAAAAAACGTTATACTGTCGAAAAAACCGTACGACACGTAAAACGCGCAGTTACGAGTGTAATTTTTTTTTTTTTTTTCCACGTAAGAACAATATATCCTATTGTACCACACCGCCGCATAACGGTACCGTTATCGGCGCGTCTACGCCGTTAATGCGCGTACGGTATCGCACGCGCGGCGGCCGTCCGAGTGAACGTTCCCGAACAACGTGCGCCGTGCGGGGGCGTATTGGGTGCAGTGGTTCGCGGTTCGTGAATATCGAACGCGCGCCCGTACAACAGCAACGCCGTCGCGGTCCAACGCAAGTTCAAGGCTGAATCGATAAATAATAATAATAATGATAATAAAAATACGACAATCGCATATACGCGTTCCCGCGAGTACGCATGTTGTTTTACACGAACACGTACGAAATATATTATTATATTATTATCGCCACTATACGACGAAAACGCGATTTTTTTTTTGTTTTTTTTTTTTTTTTTTTTTTTTTTTTACGGTCGGCAGGCACAAAACGCGCCGTCGTCGGGGGAGCATTAACCGTTTTCAGGATTTTCCCGCCCAGTCGCCGTGTATTCGTTCGTACAATCGGCGTACTGCGGTGTATGATTATTATTATTATTATTATAGGTGTTCCGCTGCACACTGACCCGGTCAGGGTTTTTTTTTATTTTCTAAATTTCATTTTAATTGTATTTCGAATCGAAATAAAAAATCGTTTGTATTTCTCTACGCGTGTTTTTTTTTTTTTTACGTACAATACGTATTACAGTAATCGCAGGTACCTCCTACAAGTATACGAGTGTGTATACGCGCATAACGCGAATAATATACGTCGCGCAAAACAAGTTTTTTTTTTTTTATTATTTTTTTTTTTTTTTGATATTTCATTTGATAAATTACTTTAAAGGTCCGCTTTTACGCGAAGGAAAAAAAAACGCGTATATATATATATATAATATTTTTTTACCATTATTATTATTCTTATTTTTGTTGTTTTGTTTTGGCGAATGATAAAAAAAAAATACTTAATTATCGTGTAAATTATGTTAATTAATTTTCATGTCAAGAAAAAATTAACCCTGCGCGGTTAATACATAACATTATACTATTTACCTACCCAGCAGCAGTTTTAGTATTTTAAATAAGTTTTCTCATGCCTAATAATCGTTTATCATAAAATAATACGTGGGTATATTATAGTTGTGCACATATACCTATATAATATAATACTTTATGTAAGTACATCGTACACAGGCGTATATGGAAATCGGCGTACAAACGAGAAACGGAACGTACACACCGGCTGCGATAAAAGAAAATAATATTCGTATCGCTATTATTTCGACCACTCCCCCGGTACAAGTCCGCTTTTACCCACTTTTCGCGGTGTGATCAATAAAAAAAAAAAATAAAAAAAAATGTCTCGCGGCTGCTCTAAAAACGTTTCTTTAAAAGCCCGAAAATCACTCGGAAATACTACACTCGACTGTACACTGCGCCCTTTCGGATAACCGGCGGGCGACGTTTCGCGGGCCTATTTGTGAGCCGAATATTTTGCACGTTTCCGCGGTGTCGTTGATACGGTACTATCAGGAATGGAAAATGAATAAATTATTATTCGTGGATCAGAAAAAGATAACAACTATTCAGTGGCCATAATATATTCTCCCGAACCCGATCAATACTAATGTTCCGAACGATATTCACTTTAAGATATTGAAATGCAGCATATTTTGTAAAAGACTGCGGTGTATATTGTATATTTTACTGTAACCACGTAGACGAGACGGCGTCTCGATTGCCGCCACTATACACCGGTGTCGTTTTAGCTCGATAACACATACTCGCACACGTATACTAGAAGTTGAAATTTGCGCACGTGTAGTTTCTGAAGTAAACAATCTTCTAAGTGCCTTGTTTTTTTTTTTTTTTTTTTTTTTTTTTTTTTTTTTTTTTTTTTTTTTTTTTTTTTCTTCTAATTTTTCCCTCGTAATAATCGCTATCAAACAATCAGTAATGTTAACTATAGTGTCAATCAAAAACAGTTAAACGTAGTTACGAAAGGGTCGAGTATACCGTAATGGTTAACAGCGGCAAAGGTTCTTATGCATTCGGATTTCGGATTAAACACCGTAGACTGGACAAACAAACGGGAAAACGTAACACTCGGGAAAAGTGAGGTGATCGATAACTCTTGTGTTACCGTTTGCGGGTTTTTCACCGTTATTGGTGAACCGCGGGAGTTGTGAACAGGGGCGTATCCAGAACGTGACTACGTGGAACGGTGGCATGCCCAGGAACTTTCAATGGGAGGGGACCTAACAAATAAAAATCGCGAATAAAGAGTAAAATCGTCTTCTCTGCCCAACTCGACTGTGGAAATTGGTAATTTAAAAGTCAATTTCTAATCAACACATCAGGCTTTTCCTCGGAATTCGTCTGAAATCTATGAGTTTCGATACAAGATTATTCGTATTCGGTTGTATTTTTAAGCCATCTAGGGGACATAATACTTAACCTCAACTTTCCCTGAACAATTACATTTAATAAGAAAAAAATTATGTCAAATAATGTATTGATTATATCTACTTCTGGACAAATAACTATGTCAAATGCCAATGTAAGTCCACTTCCCCCGTGGAGGAGGGCGATTACACTTATCGCCTCCTCCCATAAGGACGCCCCTGGTTAGAAAATGTGGACGACCAACCCGTGGATGCCGGTTGAAGGAAAACTCCGCGTGTGATTACAGTGAAACTCGGTGTGGCAATTGAACGTATTTTATTGCGGAAAGCCCGCGAAGGAGGTCCCGAGGAATTGACAGAGCTCAAACAAAGGAAGCTGGATAACTCGTTTAGATATTAATTTGTAGGAATTCGTTTTTCGGCTTTAAGAAGCCATAGGGTAAATAAATAATAATAAAAATAATAATAAGACCGAGTATATTAAATTTTAGCGAACGAAATCGCATTTTAATTTTGTGTTTGTATTTTCGCTAAGTATTTTGTTATAATATTCCGACTCGGGCCGGATATAATATTATAATCTCCCAGACGGTTGACGAAAGTTAATTGATAAACGGTGAAAAACATTGTGTTTTAATTAGAATATTGTTAAGCCCCGAGACCGTATTCCATAGTAGATATAGGTAAGTACGCCTGCATTATTACGAAGGCGTGATACAATTTTGCGAACAACTTTTGAAATGGCGTGCGGGAAACATCCGAAATGCGTTTTAAAACGATATGGTCGCGGAACACGAATAATTGCGTACACGCTCCGAGCGGGCGTAAGAATTAAAAAATTATAAAAATTAGGTTTTCAAATTGTGGCGTTGATAAAGGTAAGGTCTGTTATAACTATACAGAGTGAACAACCGAAGTCATTGCCTCGGAAAACGTGAACTTTTTTCGAAATATGTTTTTTTTTTTTTTTTTAGAAAATTCAAGAAACGAGTAGCTCCTCAAAAATGTTACATAAGTGTTATTTTTCGTCACTCTTATTTTCGAGGATAAAAACAATACCCGCTTTTGACTGTCAAACAGAATCCTTTACTAAAAATACTATAAATAAATGAAGTTTTAATACGGAGATATTTCAATGAGGAAGTTTTTCGTTTCCATCAGCACGTTGACATTTTTAAGTTTGGGTTGGAGGATAGTAACGGAATACTGTTTTAACGCTGTGCGCCAAGCAAACACACAAATTATTAAAAGTGGAATATTTTAACGACGGGCTGACAGAAATTAAAAAATGTCGACACCGACATCTAACTAAACTAAAATTTCGTCTATTTATGGCCTTTTTTTTAGTATAAGTTTCTATTCGAAAACCACAAATGGGTTGTGGTTTCACTCGGAAAACGAAGGGTGAAAAAAATAAGGGAAAACGTCGTAACGTTACCCGGGGCTGTGCAACACAATAAACACCACGGCACGAAACCGTCGATTCGGTATGCGAGCCGCGAACATAAAAATAATATTGGCGCCGTGCGCGGTGTTATTATAACGGCTACGTCAGTGGTGTTCATCCGATTCAACCCGATTTCGGGTCGCGTAAAAGCCTTGAGATTGGGTTTAATATTTAAAATTAAAATTCTACAAAATTGTATACAACTCACAATGTCTTTTGCCGGGGAAAAATTATTGTACGCACCGTACCGCCGTGTAGTTTGCTACTACATCATTCCGCGTTGCCGTTGGACAACATCGGATTTAACAATTTGCGAGCGAACCGTACCGTTTCACACTAATCGAATATAAATCGCGTTACGTGAAAAGGGGTATTCCGCTACGTCGATTTTGAAAACGCCGACAAACAAATGTACTTCGATTCGAGGATTACAATTGTACATAACGGAACCGGGATGGAGTACGAAAACAGTCGGGGTCAAATGTCGAACAATTATTTTATTTTTTTTTTATTTTATTTTTTTTTTCGTAACGTTAAACGAATTTTTATTTAACGGAAATCAAATGCTACTTACTTAAGTTATTCCGTTAATATGGCACTGTTAACTCGGGAACATGTCCGATAAAATAATCGACGCGATCCAACGAGTATTATTATCCCTCTGTCGCATTGTTAAGTGAATTTAGTGTACTATTTTTTTCTTCTTAATTACATTACGAACTATATTGTAAAGCGCTACAAAATTTGGATACGGATTCCTCTAATCCGCCCACAGCGTACATCTCCGAATAACCTAACGCTTTTAACGGGCCATATCCTCCCCCGCCCATCCTCTTACGCGGAATCCTCGACCTCTGCTCGCATATGTGTATAGAGTTTTCAAGCGCTTATTTCGATGATTTTACGTACTATATTATGCAAGTCTCGAATCATAATTAGTATTACGGGACGGGGAGTGATGGAGGGGGGGGGGAGGAGAGCAGTTACTACGATTACGAGAGATAAATAATTATAAAGTAAGCGAAACGAACACCGTATAAGATGTTCGCGATAGTAATTATTATATTCGAAAGCACCCGCGAGATATATGCATACATATTATAGGTAACTATTACATTTACCTGTTATAAAATATAATGGGTTCTGCATGTTAGAAGCTCGCGAAAATAAACGGGCGTTTTCGAGAACTCCCATAAATACATAATGCGAATTCAATTTAAACTTTTTTTTTCGTCGTTATTGTGTTTAATATTTTTTCGAAAATCCGATAAAAATGAGTAAAAGCTAGTTTAAAAATTCATTTTTCCCCCTCTCTGTCTTATGTATATGATGCGGCGACGACGGCGACCTGCTACTAACCGGGACATTGCTCTTGCTTTTTTTTAAACATCCCGACACCTGCAGACGATAAGTTTGTACACTGCGGAACGGCACGGCGGGCCTTTATACGGCTGATGCGATTGGTTATTTTTTCATATGAAAATCGCGATGATTTTATTTTTTTAGCGTTTGTAAAAAACGTACAGCATAACAAAATATTATAATATCCCGTCCCTCCGCGTAAACACATTTGTTGAAAAATAACAATAATATTATCGTTGAACGTATACACGGGATGTGACTTTTTCACGTTTACCGCACAATAGAACACCCGGCAAGAATCATTTTAATTTTATAGAGATCCCGAGGATTTTCTAGGGGGTCTTCTGGAAGCCTTCGTCTTTGTCTTCGTTCAAAACCGAAGATTTTAGAAAAATGCTACGAAAAAAAAAATCGGGATTCCGCGCACGTCCCGATTTTTTCCTATCGCGATCGGACGACAGATTTCATTTTGGACCGATTATTTTCCTACAAAACAGTGGGGTAAATTTCTCGATTTGACATTGTTTTCCTAAAAAATTATTTTGTTTTAGTATCCGAAAAATGTTACAGAAACTATGAAACCGTTAATGTTAACCGTAAAGGCGTACCGTATAACTGGCAGTGGCGTGGCGAAGGGGTTTTCGATACGCCTAGGTGTCCGGTTGAAATCGGATGGCTGGGCGGATGTAAGCTGGCAGAAAGAAAAAAAAAATGTTAACAATAAATCGATAATTGGTAATAAACAATAAACGGACTGATATTGTTTAGTAATAAACCGTCAAGTGTGATGTAGATAAGGATGTAGGCCGGTGCGTTCGCTAACGTCGAGACCGCGATTTCGTAAAACAAAACACATTTATTGGTTTTCTATATCGATCGACTTGAGGAAGTCCGTCCAAGGGTATTTCGTACAGTGGATACTAATAAACACGTTGTGCATCATTGGTCAGGAAATACGTTCGCCGCGCTAATGCGCGCGCCTATGTAGGGGAGAGCGGGATTAGTTGTTACAGCGAAGAAATTTCATATTTCTAATGATGGTTTTGATTGGAAAATTAAAGCGTGTGATTATATCATCTATCAGTTTTGTCATAATAACCGTTATACTTTATCGCTACAAAAAGTCATTCATATTATTGTGTTTTTTTCTTATTAAAACCAAATTTAAGAAAATTAGTTAATTTTTTTTTTTTTTTTTTCGAAAAAGTGTTTTGAGTGAAGACAAATTAATAATTAATTATCTTTAAACATGTTTTAGAGTATCAAATTTTAGTGGTACCTTTCAAATTAAGCGATTTATCTTTACATGAGAATGATTTACGAGTACGTTTGTTGTTACAGTCGGGCAAGGGTACGTTTCTATACTGGTTTTACCATTACGATATTGTTAAAATGTTATTATTTTTTTTTTTTTTTAAATAGTATCAGAAAGTTATAAACAATAGAGTTACATAGGGTTTTAAAATCATTACTATTGATTGTAACTAGGTAAACGTAATCTGTCTATTACTGTATAAGCACATGGTTTAAGCGGGTACTCGCATAAAAGTGCAAAAAATTACCCGTAGAACGTAACTACCGTAAACACACCGCGAGGCGAGTTGTTACATTTTGACTGATCAGCGTTCAATATAAACGCGTGCAGTTAAATTACGTTTACTTCAGTTCAAAACGAATGGGTTAACCACCTTTATGAAAATGGTAAAGCAAAAAAAAAAATTATCGAAAATCGTATCGGCTGAATAATTTTTTCCGACAATTTTTCGTGTTTTTTTTTTTTTTTTTCCTCCGGGCCCCGCTATGCCGTTATAAGTGTGCGTCGCCGTCATCGCGCCGCCGACCGACAGAGTTAATATTTCAACCCGCGCGCACGCGTATTATTATAGCGCGCCTCTGTGTATACAGCGTGTCGCAGTATAATATCATAATAACAGTGTATGTATGAAAACGGACGCGGGGAGACGGCTGCTACCGGCGTGGCCGCCGCTGCCGGGTTTTCCGTAATTATTTAGCAGGCAATCTCGCGCCGCGGCCGTCGCTTTTTACTTATTCACGGGCCCGCGGCTCCCCGCCCGCCGACGTCCCTCGGAGAGGAGAACAAAAAAAAAAAAAAATAAAAAAATAAAAAATATAATAATAACAATAATAATAATAAAGCCCCGGTCTCGTCGCAACGGCGCGTATTATTATCGCCACTCCGCGGCCACTAACCGCGCCGCCATTATTATCATCGTTATTATTGTTTTTTGTTATTGTATTCGTTAATGGCACGCCGCGCTTTAATGTAATTGCGTACCGCGTCGCACACGCGTCGGCTGCTCGTCACGCGTCTCCGTACGGCCGCGAGTTTTCTTCCGCGCGGTTTCTCCGGTCCCGTCGCCGCCGTCGTCGTCGCCGGGTACGCGACGGGGCGATCGTCGCGAACCGGCGCTTTTCTCGGAGAGGACCGTTTTTTGTTGTTTTTTTTCCGCCCCCTTCCCCTCCCATCACCCCTCGGTCAGCCCGTACGCGATGTGTTTTTGACGAGCTTCGTTTTCAAATGTTTTATGCCGCCGCCGCCGTCCGATAACGATACTTAATCGAGGCGCCTTTATCGGCATGACGACGGCAGTCGATCCGAACGAAATCGGGCCGACGAAAACGCGGGACAACACGCGGAAAGGCAGTGCGGCTCGCGGGTCCGATCGAACATTGCCTGCAGCCCCGAGCCGCCGAAAATCGGTTTGTTCCATTTGGACCGAGCACGCGTGCGTTTTGTTCGACCGACGACAAAATCGAGCTTGTGCCGTTCGAGCATTATTGCGACACCGCCGCAGCGTAGTGCGAGGACATTATTCGGATGTAAATTATAAATTTGTGGTCGGGTCATCAACGTCAAATTCACCACGAGAAACAATAGAAACGTATTATGAACGAAGAGGAACTAACTGAAAATACGGAAGAAATCGCCGAGGAATATTTCGAAAACGGCGAGATCGATGGAAAATAATAGGAAACAATTTGACCAATGTTAAAGGCAAGTCTAATGAACGTATCGGAAATTCCGGGAAAGAGACAAACGCAACGACGACTGCGATCGAATTAAAACAAGATGGCATTGCGCCGAAATATTATACCCGTTATACATGAAATATAAAAAAAAAAAAAATCGAAAATGAAAATGTCCTCCTCCTGCGATCAAAGGCCAAAAATATTCTCGAGAACTGAGCAACGAAAAGTGAAATTCGCTTAGAGAAACAATTTTAAATCGGAATCCTAATAACCCGTAACACTAGATACTGTTATTTATAAATGATAGACGGTTGTAAATTAAATTTTGGAGTCGATATAAGAATACGCAATTAGAAAAAAAAAACAATTTTTATTTTGCATAATACCTGCATGATTATTTACATTGCCGTTAACGTAACATTCTCGTATTATTATGCGTTTTAAGTTTTCCAAACAGGACCTTCCCTCGCCTTTTAAACGCCGATCCGAACAGAGAACATTGTAATTGTCTACGTACATTTCTGTATGCGCGACCCTAAATAGTATCGAACATGCTGTTTACGATAGTTATAACAGTTTGAATAGTTTAGGCCGGAAAAGTAATCAATTTATCTATCGTCTAAAAACGGCGGTGAGAACCGCCGTATGTCGATTGCCCTCCCCTGCTCTTCCGATCCGAATATTTTAAACTGTTATAGCTCATAGTAACGGATATCAGTGTCGCGTGTTACGCGTACATACCGTCGTTTTTCGTTCTACGCGAAACCGTGCGTAAGAAATCAAGATGCGGTTTCCATTTGAAATACGCAAGAGTGTACCGACCTGATATACTATAGGGGATAAAAAAAAAAAAAAAAGTCGAAATCAATGTTAAAATAATGCTCAATTTATGTTCCGTAATATGATACGATGCGTTTGAAAAAACAGAAACAGAAACATAAATAAAAATTCTCCGAGAAAATCGCTGGTGCGTGATAAATGAATCGCCCCGTAGTACACCGAAATAATTATTCGCCGAGAACAGACCGGTCGTAAAGCACAATATTATTGCATTATCTTACACTCGTGTGATTCTGTTGTGTAGACAAAATGTTCCGCGGGCATCAACAAGTGCGCATTTTCCAGCGGGTGGCTCGTTAGATTTATAATATTGTGTGTGTGTGTGTGTGATGGTTGGGACATTTGGAAAATCACAATAAGTCGGGGTCCGTATTTGGGGAGTGACGGGAGTGAGTGTACCGTGTTGCCGCGAGAATCGGAAATTTGTCTGGTTCATTAAAAGGGGCGGGTGGAGGAGATAGGAAGGCTGTACATTTTGTTCTATTAACATATAATAATAAATGGCGTGTAAATTATGTTTGTTTGAAAAAAAAATAAAAAATGTATGCATTTAGAATTTGAGATCGGTTTTCGAGATGGAATTTCCCGCGGACTAAACACGATGTCAATAGTTTTTTTGCAGAGTGTGACTAGAGTATGTTACCCCGACCGGAAAATGTGAAGCGATACAGACCGGGGGAGAGTGGGTGAATCTCTTAATTCGTGGTCGCATAGCGCGATTGCGTGAACTAGTAAACAGTGAAATTTGTTATGCGAAACTGTCACGGGTTGGGAGGAGGGGGGGGGAGGGAGCGAGAAATTCACGAAAGGTCAATGGCCCGATGCAATATCAATTACGAATTGAAATTCGCTATGAGAACTTGTAAATCGCGTGGCTGGCAGCACCGCGTTTCCAGCACGCCGTTTGATTTTTGAATGTCTGGAAGAAGGACTGTATCAGCCGCGGAGCCGTTCGCTTCCCGAGGAAAATACTGTTCGCGCGAACAAAAAAAAAAAAACTCGTTTAATTAACCGGCATATCATTTATTATGCGTGTCGACGTCACACGTCTTCGGAATCGTTTACTCCCGCCCTTTGTGTTGGCCGTCCGTCGCGAACGACTTGAATTTTTTATTCGCCCGAGCGGCGCGTTCTACGCGCGGGATTTATTGATGATGTCGTGGTGACGTTATTTTCTGAATTTTTAATCGATTCCGGCGTACGGCGGCGGCAGGGGCGGCGAGCGATAATTTCCGTCGGACAATACGGCTCGCAGTTTTTAAAGGTATCCGATAACGACTATACGATGCATAATATAACACAGTTCCTAAACCGGCAACGAAAAAAAAACGCTGTTTAGTCTTTGTCGATTTCGCGGGGTCTCGAACGGTTTTACGTTTCAAACGAATGCGAAACGAAAATTCCACATTATAAAAATACTACAAACGGTTGGGCGGAGCAATAATAATAATATAATAGATTGCATACTGCAAGGATCGGACGAAATCTTTTGAAATTTGATAACTATTTTTTGGAACTGCAAGCGGGTAGGGGTAGGGGTTGAGGGGCGATCGAATTCCGGGCGCGCTATTCCTGTAGCGTATTGTGTTTTTCATGTTCACGTCGTTATCTACAATTAGCGGCGGCGGATCCGCAGCCAATTTTTTAGGAGTCGGCCAAAAATCGTGTCTTAGGTACTGACAAAAAACATTTCAGCGGCGGATTCAAAATTTGTTTGATTTAGGCACTATACAATATCAAATTTACACACATATTTTGTTTTGTTGTTGTTCCACTTCGCCGAACCGTTCCATCTTCTCCTACCAGTTATGATCTTAGGTACATTTACGTATTCAAGTTGTGTTTTTTTTTTTTCAAGTCCAATAAAGAGGTAGGTCGCCTACCTCGCTACCTTCCCGCCATAATACCTGCCGTTTATCTACCGAAAGCCTAAACGAACCGATAATGCAATAGTTATACCCACGTGTGTAGCGAGTCCGGTATATCAACGACAATTTTCGATTTTGTGCCGACGACGACGATGACGTCCGCGCGCAGTCCCGTGTACGGATTTTCACTACCCACCGCTTTTACGCGACTTTTGGTAGGTGAGTTGGTCGTTTCTACCCACGTTGTTATATTGTGTCATATTGCACGTGAATTGCGCGCGAATTTTTTCGGGGGACGGAAAAAAGAAAAAAAGGTCACATCACTAACATTCGGAACACTCTCTCGAACCCTGCGTATACCTTTATCATAACGTCGAACTATAGTAAAAAACGATAACTGTACCTATACCTATACCTGCTACCTACCTACTCACATACGTAGAAATAACGGTTACGTAGTGGTGCCGTGGTAGTGTTTTATATTTAAATATTTGAGCGATTCGAAAGGCGTCAAAGTTTAGGAAATTTTTACAAATATAAACTGGACGATAAATGTATATGTAAGAAAATCGTTTTATAAAATTATTATTAGTGTTAAAAAAAAAAAGAAAAAAAAAAAGAAAGACTATAAAAGATAAAAAACGACGGATTCCGAAAGAATAAAATATTACTGAGATTTGTCTCGGTCTATCACGCCGACGACGGTCGTGACAGGCCGATAAATATTATGGAAGCCGTCGAC